TGCTGAACTTACAAAACAAGAGAGTACTGAAGAGTTCCTGTTGAAATGAAGAAGTGTGCCAGACATACTGTGGCCTATAGGCTGAAGATGGATGCCCCAACATAACAGAGGAACTTTGGGTGACTGTCCAGGTAGTGAGATGTCAATTCTAGAGTTTATATATTTTCCTTCTGTGGTCTTTGATAGAGTTGAAGACAGATAGTTATGGTTATAGTTTTCTTCAGTTATTATAAAAGATAAGTTATCCTTTTTATTTAGACAGAAAAGAGGACACGATGGGGAATGTACTGTGTATGATTATCTTGTTGATTATTGAATAAAATACTGTTTGGCCAATGAGACAGCAAGTTAGACAGGACTAGGAGTCAAAGAGGATTCTGGGAAATGTAGTAGAGAAGTGGTGATCCAGGCAGGAAGTGACATAGCAAGGAGACTCATATCTAAGCAAGGAAACAGGAAGTGTCCTCTTTTCCCATTCGCCTCCTCCAGCGGCAGGATGTGAGCCACCGGCAAGGAGGGACACCAATAAGGCGTCTGATAAGCTAAGTCTTATAAAATATATAGATTTATGATAATTAAGACTGAGCTAGCAGATGAGCCTAATACAAGTTTCTGTGTATTCATATGGACCCTAACTCAGGCAGGTGGCTGACGTAAAGCACACATGTTGTGATGGGGCTCAGCGGGTTTTGGCGGAAAGATTTATTGTAACACACATACCTAGAATTCTTGCTTGTGTTCTCAGTCTTCTGAATAAGACCTTCTTAGCTGGAGACAGGCATTGCCTCCATGTGCAAGATGCTTGCTAAGCACCAATTGAATTTCCTGCTGGTCTTGCTATTCATTCAGAGTCTATCTGTCTGAATTCTTCATGTTCCCATCTTGCTGTACCCACTGCCTCAGGAACCCATGCCACATTTGGAACTATAAAAATATAGACTTATCCATAAAGGCTGTGGCTTACCTGCACCATTATCCAACAGCTCCAGCTCTGTTATTTTTCCAGTAATTGATTCTATGATAGCTGTCACATGGGCTCCAATGATGGGTATGTACCCTTGTAGGACTTCTGCATAAACGATCATAGGGCTGGGGAAACTGCTGGTGTCTCTGTTCATTTTAGCATTAACAGTAATTGGTGGCACAGAAAAATTTGCTGCCCGGGAGTTTACTGTAATTGTTAGTATTTCTTGGTTTGTTTTGGCTTCAAGGTTGTAAGTCCAAGTACCCACCTACAATTTTCAATGGAAACATGAAGTAAGCACTTAGAGTACAACTCTATTGTTTTTCCATTATGTGATTTTAAAATAGATCATAGAAGTTTTGTGCTTTTAAAAAGTTCTTAATTCTCCAGTTACTGAAGCTGAGACAGTTCAGGCAGAGAGCCCAGCTAGGGTTGTGCATGGTATTCACCTTTTGAGATCAATTGGGAAATAATGTTCTGATAAATCTGTCTTGGCTTTGACTCATTCTTTGGCCTCAGTGTCATAGATCTTATGACTGGGAGGAACAATGAGAAAAGATGGAGCACTAAATCACACAGACTCTCTACTCTTCCTTAGTGTTCTCAGATACCCTTTCTCTTTTATGTCAAGCCATAAATTCTTTTTACCTTTACCCAGACATCATAGTTTTCAGGATCACACAGGTAATGAAAGTATATAAATTTCACTTTCATTTTGAAGATGGTAAAATTGTTGGCACCCATATTCACTATGACTTTAGAACCCCTTTGGAAAGAATATTTGTTCAGGGGAAATTGAAAAGCTAGTGGCTTACCTGAGCTATTCCTGGGACACTGAAATAGGCCATTTTGGAAGCCGTGTCCATTGTGAAATTTGTGATTTGTGTTCCTTTTGGATCCCATAGAGAAATGCCAGGAGCTGTTGTCTTCCAGGTGACAAGAAAGAATGTGTCCTTTCCCACTGTGCTGTCAATTACTACAGTGTCATTCAGCCAGAGATTAGTATTCAATATGACTCCCTTACTTTCAAGCTGTTTAAATGTAAAACATACAAACAACAATAACAAAACTTAATGATTACAGGAGAAAATAGTTTTATTCTTTTGTCTTCTACAGATAATTCTTTACATTGACCTGGAAAGTCTTAGATATGCTGAAATATCTTAGATTCTCTCTCCCTTCCTCCCTCCCTCCCTCTCTTTCTCTCTCTCTCTCTCTCTCTCTCTCTCTCTCTCTCTCTCTCTCTCTCTCTCCTCCCCTCTCTCTGTCTCTGTCTCTCTTTCTCATAAAGGGTTCTCATATAGTTGGGGTTGGCTGGGTCTCCCTCCAGGGTGGATCCAAACTCCTAGCAATCTCCCTGCCTCTTCCCACCAACAGATTTTCCCCCTTTCTAAGGCTTATTGCAATGCGGCAGTTGCAAGGTTGGAAATACAAGGTCTGAAGAAAGCACAGGGAATAATAGGCGATTTAAAGTGGAAACATCAGTTAAAAAGTTGAGACTGTGACCCTGCTATATGTTGTTAGTTTTCTGGGGAAGTGCTCATGTTGACTTTTGACATTAAAGGATGCTAAAATCTATAGAGGATTAGTATAAGCTATGTGTATATTTGACATGCTTACTTATCTGGATGATGACCCAAAAGGCAGAGTAAAGGCTTCCAAAGAAAAACAAAAGCAGGTAAGTGACTGGGATGTGATAGGACACTTGTCTATCACACTGGGGGCTCTAGGTTCAGTTCCCAGGAAGAAACAAGAAATGATTGAGACAAACATTGTTGGATAGATTGCTAATGGGGAATCTCTAAGTGACTTTTTCACAAAGGACTGAGAATGAAGCATTGGACACGGAGTCTGTCCAAAAGAGGGAAAGTAGGTTGTGAAGGATAGAATCCTGGGAAGAGAGAAAACAAAAACCAGGGGTTTCTCTGAGAGGAGCCATAAAGGAGTAATTTGTCTTTGTTGATAGGTCTTAGCTGAGAAGAGTCAACTGAATATTAAGTTATTTTTAAAGTCACAAAATTGCATGTTTTTCATATAAACATAATGTTTTGAAACATTATAAATGACTAAATTAATCTAATTAGCACCAACATTTCCTCACTACACATTGAGAACATTTAAATTCACTTTCTAATCTAATGCAGCACATATGATAAACATGCTATTAATTATAGTAGTCACTATGTTTATATAATACTTTATATAAGATCAGTAATAAAATACTGATATTATTTACTATCTAACTGAAAGTTTGTATCTATTTCCTAACATCTCTCTGACCCCCACATCTTACCAGCTGATGTTAATTATGGTTTTATTCTTTTCTGTGAATTTGGCTATTTTGTATTCCATGTGTACATAAGGCCACACACTTCGTCTTTCTGTGCTTCGTTTATTTCACCTAACATGAAGTCCTAGGTTGTCCAGCTTTACCTTTTGTCTTCCAGGTGCCACCACTAAACTCAAATTCCCATCCACTCAGATGATTGTACCATGCTCCCAACTGGTTACTATTTACCTACATCATCTCTGCCCATCATACATGTGAATATAGCTTGGCTTTGAAAATTTGTCCTTTTTGCTTTTTTCTCTATTTAAGAACTTAAGACAGTTATCTCATGTGAGAAAGACAGAATTTATTTCTACTTTTTCTACACCTTAAAAAGCCAACACCTGAAGTTTTGAATGTGTCTTATACATAATGTCTCCTTTCTGCATGGTTTCATGTATTCTGCCCTTATATCTTTTCTCAGTTATGGTAAAAGCAACCATAAAATATCTAGGGATGGAAAAACACTGACCTGAATTGACTTCTGGGTGACATCGGCATTTTCTGAAGCAAGGGCCCCAAAAGAGTCAATGAGACCATTGTTCTGTGCTTCATCTGAAGCAGGTAAATGATTGCCTCCTAAAATGGGAAAGAATAAGCTATGCTGTTTTGTAGAACAGGTATAATTATCACATTTTAATGATTAACAAGGTAACAGTTAAAATAAAGTCAAAGTTTCCATATAGACCAAATTAAATTGTTAGAAAACTGTTAAGATCATCTCTGGAAAGTTAATTGAATTTAATTATATCCTAACTGTGAAGAAAAACCCACCTGATTACATCAGTATAGAAACCCCTGTTGAATGAGGTGTGTCATTTTGTTATAGACTATGAAAGGTACTACAGTTCTGTATATTTAAACTCACAGATTTTGTACAGTCCTTTAGGGGAATTATTAACTGTTACTTACATCATTTAGATTGATGGAGTGATAAGCAGTGGGAACAGTTTTAAAAAAGTGCTATATCAGATAGAATATTTGTGACAAAAATAAATGGTACAAGTGGCCATGAAAGTATTTGAAATGTATATATGCTTTTTGTAGTGGCTATACAAATATATATATATATATATTTGGTACCATGAAAACCAATTCAGTATAGTAAGCGATGCTTGTATTATTGGTTCTACATTCTATACTATGTTTAAGAAGGCACTAGAAGTATGTAGTTAGTTTTCATCACATCTGTATATTTAAATAACAGTTACCATACTTAGTGTTCATCATGAAATTTGTATTTTCTCATTGCCTTTTGTTCCTGGAAAAAAACTCAGGCTTTGTTCAAGGCCCAACTTGGAAGCCGCATAATTTCATATACCTCCCTTCCTTCCCCTCTACAACATTTTGGGGACATAGAAGGCTTGTCTGTCTCAATTAAACTTTATCCTCTGTTTGTGCTATTATGAAGGAATGTGTTCCATGTGCTTGGATCAACAATTTTTTTGTGTCTTTCCAGCCAATTGAACAACTTGGTGATGAGGGCAGAGGTTGGGTCTGTTTGACTTTGCTCTCCAATCCCTGGCCTGACTTTTGCAGAACCGAGTCTAGAAGAAGTGGTTGAGCATTGGTTCTACATTCATATACAGCAATTAGAAGTCTTTAATAAAGAGATCATATTTCACCTGTTAGCACAGTCATGTTTATTACACCTTCATCAGGAGTTGGTCCTAAGGGAATGAAACGAACTATGGACCCACTCTCTTTAACCTCATTAATACAGATTTTTGAAGAGCTGTCTTCTCCATCACTCAACAGCACAATTTCAGCCCCATCTTTTTGGAAACCTCCAGTTTTAAATACCTGTAAGCATAATTCAGAATACCGTTATTATACTACATCATCTATCTTGATGGAAAATTAGAGAATAGAAACTGCACAGAAAAAAAAGTGTAGGATAGAAGAGACATTTTCTATTTTAGAATCATAGACTTTACACTCAGCAATCCTTGGAGAACATAAACATTATTCTTTTGTCCTCTGAATGCAGGGACATTTGTTCAAATGAAAGATAGGTGGGATCAAGTATTAAAAAAAACCCACATGACAAATGACAGTGGCCTCTGATCCCAGAAAACTCATGCAAATAGATAGATATTTTAAATATTGGATGCATTTTCTTTCCCTGCTATCCTTGACAAACCTACAGCATACAAACCAGTTGTACTTACAGCCAGATGCATTAAGCATCAACATTAAAAGGTGATGGATTCTGTCAGGCAGTAGTAGTACCCGCATTTAATCCCAGCACTTGGGAGGCAGAGGCAGGTGAATCTCTGAGTTTGAGAACAGCCTGGTCTACAGAGTGAATTCAAGAACAGCCAGAGCTATAACGAAAAACCCTGTCTTGAAAAGCAAAAAACAAAACAAAAACTGGTGATGGACTCCCAATTAGAAAGATCTTAAATACTTAAATGAATGGTAGCTAATGTTATGAGCATGTTGAAGTTAGAGATTATTTATTTACATTTACTTGAGATGGGGTCTCATGTTTCCCATGCTGTTGTCAGATGGTTTAGCCAAAGATAGTCTTGGAATTTTGATCCTTGTGCCTCTACCTCCCAAATGCTAAGATAACATATATCAAAGGTTTTTTCCCCTATGTGCTTTGTCCTGAGCCCATTAAGATTAATTATGTCAAAATTAAGAGGCAAGTTATGTACAGTAGCACTTCACAAAGAAATGCCCTAAAAGCAAAACAAAGAACAAAATACATTTGCAGTAGATTTTCACCTCAAATGCTGACTGGATTCCAGAGCAGATGGAGGTCCCTCCAGAGGCAACTTTAGGCAAGTATTTCAGAAGCTGGCTTCTCTGGGTGTCATTATGTATTTGGATCAGCTGACTTTTGATACTGGCCTGGATATGGAAGTGCACCATTCCTACCCAGGACCCATCTTCAATTATTTGCATTACAAAATATTGTGCTGCTTGATTCATTCGATTGAGGCGATCATAACCCTGAATAGAAAAGGATGATAAAATAAAAAATCTGAGTGGTTTTCAAGTGGAAGATAAGGGCAGACCTCACAGAAGGAGGGCATGAAGTTAATGGCAAGAATCGTCACAACTATTCATTTGTATTATCGAAGAAAGCGCTTGTGATTTTAAACTGGTAAATATATAAAGTGGGCATATATATAATATGGGACACACATGAAGGAGAGATTCTCAGTAGCTAAGAACCCAAGTTAAATGTGGAGCTTGCATTGAAACTAAAGGCAATGATTCACATCTTAGTGGTACAATTCACACAAATCATTCCTGTTAAGACAAACTCATAACCTAGACTTCAAAAACCCAACCAGACTCCCCTGGTCTCCAAACACAGCTGAACTGACCAATTCAGTATGGAGAAGTCTTCTCAAAGGGGAAACTTACTTGAGTTCTAGTTAATTATGAGAAGGTCAGCCTACCCTGCCCTCTTTTGCCCCCCATGGCTTTTCCACCAGTGGGCTGACTGCATTGGCTTTCTGCTAACTCACCAGTAATCATTTCTCCCTTAACTAGATGGATGCCCAGGAGGCTCACTCCATACATTTACTTTCTCTAGATCCTCCCTGCAATCCATACCCAAATTTGTTTGGGAACTAAATCACAACAAAACTCCTACACATCTACAGCCTTGCTTTGCCTGTTTGTCTGCTGTTCTTGTCTTCTCTCTCTTCTGACTTTTATTGCATCTGCTTTGTGTGGAGAGTGTGTGGGTGTTCAGGGACACTTGTGCCACAGCACACATGTCATGGCATACATGTAGAGCTTAGAGGACAGATGCAACTAGTCAGATCTTGCCTTCCATCATTTGGATTCCAGAGTTTGAACTCAAGTCGTTGTGCTTGGCTGCAAGTACATTTACCCACTGAGCTATGTCTTCTGCCTTTATTATTATTATTTAGTCTGTCTGTCTGTCTGTCTGTATGTATGTATGTATGTTTCTTTCCTCTGAATGTGTCTGTGTGCACGTGTGCACGCATACACTCCCCATGGTATCCATGTGGAGGTCAGAAGATAATTTTGAGGAGTCAATTTTCTTTTGATAATTAGACTCATATTGTTAGGTTAGTGTGGCAAATGCTTTTGCCTGTTGAGCATCCTCCAGCCCTGCTTTGGTTCTACGAGTACCCTGCCGGTGGGGTAGGCTCTTCATCTCTGAATCATCAATGATTTCTTACACTACTTATGTATAGTTCTGAGCATTGGTTCTTCTGTCTTCCATAAAATCTTGTGTTACTGTGGTTCACTTCAGCAATCTCTATTATTCTTTGACCTTTCAATACCACATCCCCTGACTTGCTGAAGCTTTAATTTCTGCTTTAGCATGTATGCTCCACTGCCCCTCTGCAGTCAGCCTGAATGCTTTATCACACTACACCTGCTCATTTGTGGTTCACATCCATTTTAGCAGCTATCTGTTGGTCACAGATATGTTATGATCTCTGGATTGGATGAAGCTTGGGTTCCTAGTGGAACTCTTAATCTGATCAGGAGAGGAACAGACACTATCAGAGATATGCAGAAGGCAGTGATCAGAATTGGCAAAAGGGTTAGCACCTATACATCACCCCACAAGTCCAGCCCTTCTCCTGGCAGAAATGAGTGTCTCTTCTAAGTTTTGGAGGACAGGATTGATTGACTTAGATAGATAGGCAATGATGAGAGGGAGATAAAAACATTACTGGACTATAAAAATATCTGCTTTTTTGGGTTTGTGAGACAGACTGCCACTGTGCAACCCAACTGGCTTTGAACTTATCTAATCTCCCAAATGTAAGGATTATAGGAACATACTTCCACAGCTCAACCTAATGGGAAGTATGAAGTTCTCAAGCACATACATCTCTGTTTTCAGTCAGTACAAGGACTGTATTCTCTGCATGATAATAGACTGAAGTGATGACTACATAGAGCTCTTTGTTCTTCACAGGGATGCTTTTCTTTGTATCTGAGGAGAGCACTTGAACAGTTGAGAGATAAGATGACACCATGTTGAAATCCTGCTGATTGATCCTGTTGCTTGAGATAAACTGGAGTTTAAACATACACTAATATACTCCATTCTTATTTTCTTTATGTGGAGGATGCATAGCTAAAAACAATTTCATTTCAATATCTTGTTCTCACTAAATGGTATCAGAGTACTTATCATTCAGCTATACATTGTCTGGAACAAAATGGATAAGCCTTAGGTTAGCTGTTCTTAGGTATTTTTCTTTAATTATATATCTTTTTAATATCTTTCATATCATTATCTCAGAAAGTAATAGTACTTTATGGAATCATATAATTTTTAAAAATCCACAGAACAAGTAGTGTTTAGGGTGTTTATTTTTGCCATTTGGTTACCCCTATTCCTACACTCAAAAAAAAAAATGAGTCATGAACTTACGGACATACTCCCAGACACATCAAGAACTAGGCAAATGACTCTTTCACTGATTTTCAGCAGTGAGAAGGTGGGTGGCAAGGGCGGTGTCTCTGTTGGCATGCTGCTAAGAAAATCCTCAGAACTGCTGATTACATCCCACGTGCTTCTATATTCGCATTTCATATTTTGTAGAGTTGGAGCATCTCGATTATGGTTTTCTTCTTTACAGAATTCAGTCACCTAAAAGTATAGTAAAACGTTGAAATTACTATTCCATGTATTAAAAAAATGATCTGAAAAACAAAGTGAAAGTATATTCAGTATTAGAATGTAAAAATAATTATGTTGGTTCAGCAAAGTGGCAGTAGTCAATTCTTTGCTAAGGTTCATGGTCTCACTATCCATGGAAGCTGTTTATATTGACAATACCCAGGACGACTCAAATCCAATTAGACGGCTGTTGGTTATCACCAACATGTGAGTGTCATTATTGCACCTTCATGCATATCTTGCCATACTAATTGTCATAGCTCATAGATACTGCATGTGGATAGGACTGTTCAATTGCTTCCCTCCCTTTGTAGCTTGCATGGTGTTTACTGGAATCATGGAAGCTAGACCACAGGAAA